TCTCTCTCTCTCTCTCTCTCTCTCTCTCTCTCTCTCTCTCTCTCTCTCTCCCTCCCTCCCTCTCTCTCCCTCTCCCTCATATAGAAAGATTAACAAAATCCGTATATTAACACAGGACTGGGGGGAGACGGCTGAGTGGTTAAAGCACTTGCTGAGGACCAGAGTTGAGATCCCCATTTAATGCCAGTCGTGTTTGCTGCCCACCTTAATTTCAACCTTAAAAGGCAGAGACAGGGGATCTCAGAGCAAGTTGATTATCAAGACAAGCTACATCGGTGAGCTCTGGGTTTGACTGAGACCCTGCCTCAATGAATAAGGTGGAAGAAGCAATTGAGATTGATTCCCAGCAACAACCTTGGGCCTCCACATGCAAGAGCACACATGTACACACTCACCCACAAACACACATGCATCCATGAACATGTAAGCATGCACATACACACACATATGTGCATACCACCATACATACGAAAAGGAAAAAGAAACATACATACCTATATGCTTACAACATCTACAACAAAGGCACACCAGAGACCAGCCATCAGACCTGGGGTAGGTGAGACTCACCTCCCACTCCCTCATAGTTTTCCTGTCTGATTCTTACCTGTGGACCCTCAGGAATATTTCCATAACTACGGACAGGCAGACAGACTTAAGACAACCCGCCCAGCACTCATGGTTCATCACAGGTATGCGAGCCAGTGAAACAAAGTGAGCGATTTTCCCATGTGGAAAGGACATGGGTCTTTGGAGATTAGAAGGAAGTGTGTGGTGCGTGCCCCCAAAAGTATTCATACCCTAATTCCCAGAACTGGAGACCACTTTGTACAGAAAGGGGACTCAAAGAAGCTGACAGAATTAGGACTGCTACTCAACCAGCCTAGAAATGGGGGGATTATTCTAGAGCATTCAGATGGGTGCAGCATAATGTCAAGGGTCCTGATAAGCAAGGAAGGAGATGGAAGGGTATATGTTCAGTGACATGTGGATGCTTGAAAGCAGGAGGAGCAGAGCCCAAGCCAAGGATCTCTAGAAGCTGGAGAAGGAAGAACAGGTTTCCCCAAAGAGGAGCAGAGCCCTGATGACCTGTTAGCTATAGCTCAGGAAATCCCCTTCTGCATTGTCTCCACACCACAGGACAATAAATTTGGTGTGGTAAATTGTCATGGAAATTGTCATGACGGTTTTAGAAGCGAATACAGCCAGTAACCACAAAGAAAGTTGTCTGGAGAGACATACGTGATGCACATTTTATCTGTGTGCCGGCAGGCACTTAGGAAGACTCTGGTGGTTGGCTCTCATGGGTACGGCTCCACTGACACAGCAGCAGTAAAGGCCCATTAAGGGAAAACCAGTTCCTTCTGATCAAGAGGATAAAATCTCTGGCCTTGGTGGAGGCCTAACATTCCAAGCTAACCAAACCATAAGAATTAATCCAGTAGAACCTGTCAATCACCTGGCCAAGGAACCACCAGGAAGGCAGGCTCACCTTAAAGATAAAGAGATAGGCAGAATATTTTTAATTTAATGAGAGACTGTACGTTTCTTTCCCAGAATGCCTGCCCCCTAGTGCAGTTGCTGTGGGCAACCATGAGATTTTTTTTTTTTTTTTTTTTTTTTTTTTCCCCTCTTGAGACAGGGGCTCCTGTAGCCCTTTTTTTTTTTTTTTTAAGTAGGAGCCCT